CAGGCAGCGCACTGATGAGTCATTCCCGGTGAGTAAGGTCCCAACTCACCCAGAGCTCTCTGCTGTTCATATGTGTATCCAAGTTATGTTTCCAGAAGTTTCTTCTTAATCCCAGCTTAAGGCGCTAGTCGATTCAGGCGCAGCTGGGAATTTTATCGATCGCCATTTCTCATATAAGTTAGGAATCCCTATATTACCAGTCGATGTGCCCTTCCCTATCCATGCCCTAGATAGCCGGCCTTTGGGGTCGGGATTTATTAGGGAGGTCACAGCGCCACTGAAGATGAAAACGCAGAAGGGTCATGAGGAGACTATACAGTTGTATTTAATTGACTCTCCTGCGTTTCCAGTGGTGTTGGGGCTTCCCTGGTTAATATCTCATGACCCCAACATTTCATGGCAACAGAGGGCTCTCAAGGGATGGTCTGATCAGTGTGTGGGGCGGTGTGTAGGTGTTTCCGTAGGGGCAACGACGGTGGAGAGTCCGAACCAAATGCCCACAATGCACATTCCTCCTGAGTATGCCGATTTGGCAAGCGCCTTCTGTAAGAAGAAGGCGACTCAATTACCACCTCATCGACAGGTGGATTGTGCGATAGACCTCCAGGTTGGCGCTGCGCTCCCTCGCAGCCATGTGTATCCTCTGTCTCAGGAGGAGACGGCTGCTATGGAGACATTCCATCGCCTTTCTAGGGAGTTTTTCCTAGCCACCGTGCTTCTACACCTGCATTACTAGCTGTTTGGGGTTTTAGGCTGGGTTTCTGTACAGCACTTCGAGATATTAGCTGATGTAAGAAGGGCTATATAAAATAAAATTGATTGATTGATTGATAAGTCGCCGAATCCTTGAGACAGGGGTACATACGGCCATCCACTTCTCCTGCGTCCTCAAGTTTTTTTTTTGTGAAGAAGAAGGATGGGGGTTTACGCCCGTGTATTGATTACCGTGGTCTCAATCAGATCACTATTAAATACAGCTATCCTCTCCCTCTGATTGCTAGTATGACGGAGTCATTACACGGGCGCGCTTCTTCACAAAATTGGATCTCAGGAGCGCTTACAACCTGGTGCGCATTCGGGAGGGAGATGAGTGGAAGACTGCATTCAGTACCACCTCGGGTCACTATGAGTACCTCGTCATGCCATACGGTCTAATGAATGCTCCTTCAGTCTTCCAATCATTTGTAGACGAGATTTTCCGGGATTTGCATGGACAGGGGGTAGTGGTGTATATTGATGACATTCTGATATACTCCGCTACACGTACCAAGCATGTGTCCCTGGTATGTTGGGTGCTGGGTAGACTGTTGGAGCATGATCTGTATGCGAAGGCAGAGAAATATCTGTTTTTCCAGGAGTCCATCTCCTTCCTGGGACACCGGTTGTCTGCGTCAGGGGTGGAGATGGAGATTGACCGCGTTTCAGCCGTGCGTAATTGGCAGACTCCAACTACAGTAAAGGAGGTGCAGCGTTTTTTGGGTTTTGCCAATTACTACATGAGGTTTATCCGGGGTTTTGGACAGGTAGCAGCTCCAATTACCTCCCTGCTAAAGGGGGGCCCGGTGCGTTTGCAGTGGTCGGCTGAGGCGGACAGGGCGTTTAGTCATTTGAAGGACCTGTTTACCTCAGCTCCGGTGCTGGCACATCCGGATCCCTCTTTGGCGTTCCAAGTCGAGGTGGATGCGTCCGAGGCGGGGATCGGTGCTATACTGTCTCAGCGCTCGGGCACGCCTCCAAAACTCCGCCCCTGTGTTTTCTATTGTAAGAAGTCAGGCGGAACGCAATTATGACGTGGGGGACAGGGAGCTGCTAGCTGTGGTCCAGGCCCTGAAGGTGTGGAGACATTGGCTTGAGGGGGCTAACCACCCTTTTCTCATTCTGACTGACCATCGTAACCTGGAGTACATCCGGGCAGCGAAGAGACTGAACCCTCGTCAGGCTAGGTGGGCCATGTTTCTTGCCCGGTTTGTCTTTAAGATCACGTATATCCCAGGGTCACAGAACGTTAAGGCAGACGCCCTGTCCCGACGATATGACACAGAGGAGTGGTCCATTGAGCCCACTCCCATACTACCGGAGTCTTGTCTCGTGGCACCGGTGGTGTGGGAGGTCGACACGGAAATATAGCGGGCGTTACGTACTGACCCTTCTCCCCCAGAGTGTCCAGAGGGACGGAGGTACGTACCGCTCGAGGTCCGTGACCGACTGATTTATTGGGCTCACACGTCACCCTCCTCTGGTCATCCTGGTATTGGTCGGACGGTCTTAGCGGGAAGTACTGGTGGCCCACCTTAGCTAAGGACGTGAGGGTTTACGTTTCTTCCTGCTCTGTGTGCGCCCAGTGTAAGGCGCCTAGACACCTAGAAGTTACAACCTCTCCCCGTTCCACAACGGCCGTGGTCTCACCTGTCGGTCGATTTTGTCACGATCTTGGTCGTTGTGGATCGGTTTTCTAAGGCCTGCCGTCTCATCCCTATGCCAGGTCTTCCTACAGCCATACAAACGGCCGAAGCCCTGTTTACTCACGTTTTCCGGCACTACGGGGTGCCTGAGGATATAGTGTCTGATCGGGGTCCCCAGTTCACCTCGAGTGTGGAGGGCGTTTATGGAACGTTTGGGGGTCTCGATCAGCCTTACCTCTGGTTTTCACCCTGAGAGTAATGGGCAGGTGGAGAGAGTAAACCAAGATGTGGGTAGGTTTCTGAGGTCCTACTGCCAGGACCGGCAGGAGGAGTGGTCGGGGTATATTCCCTGGGCAGAGATAGCCCAAAACTCACTCCGCCACTCCTCCACTAATCTCACTCCTTTCCATTGTGTGTTGGGCTATCAGCCAGTTCTGGCACCCTGGCATCAGAGCCAGATCGAGGCTCCTGCGGAGGATGAATGGTTTCGGCGCTCGGAGGAGACATGGAACGCTGCGCACGTCCATCTGCAGTGGGCCATCAGACGGCAAAAGGCGAGCGCCGATCGCCACCGCAGTGAGGGTCCGGTTTATGCACCGGGAGATCGGGTCTGGCTCTCGACCAGAAACCTGCCCCTTCACCTGCCCTGCCGGAAGCTGGGCCGGTGGTTTGTGGGGCCATTTAAAGTCCTGAGGAGATTGAACGAGGTATGTTATAGGTTACAGCTGCCTGTTAATTATCGCATTAACCCCTCGTTCCATGTGTCTATCCTCAGGCCGGTGGTAGCTGGTCCACTCCAGGAGAATGAGGTATGAGAGGCCCCTCCGCCCCCACTAGACATCGAAGGGGCTCCGGCGTACTCAGTCCGTTCCATCGTGGATTCGAGGCGTCGGATGGGGGTCTGCAGTATCTCGTGGAGTGGGAGGGGTACGGTCCGGAGGAACGGTGCTGGGTCCCTAGGAGGGACATCCTAGATCCCTCCCTGTTGACAGATTTCCACCGGAGTCACCCGACTCGCCCTGCTCCGCGTCCTCCTGGCCGTCTCCGAGGCCGGGGTCGGCGCACGGCTGGAGCCGCGTGTCAAGGGGGGGGGGGGGGGTACTGTCACGGATTCTGCCGAGGCTGCTCCTCCTCCTTGCTCGGGTAGGCTTCGGCGTTCGTCGTCCCCGGAGTACTAGCTACTGCCGTTCGATGTTATCGGTGTTTGTTTAGTTTTGTCTGTATTGTTTACACCTGTTCGTCATTATGTTTAATTGTTTCCCTTAAATTACCCCTGTCTCTCATCAGGACATTGTGTGTGATTGTTTTTCCCTTCACGGTTGTCATTTTAGTGAGCGGGTTATTTCCTCCCAGCGTGGAGTTATTTCTGTGTTCTTTTGGATCCTTATCGGATTAAAGTACGTGTCCGAGAGTTCTGTGTCCTGCGCCTGACTTCTTTTACCGCATCTCACCGACAGTCATGACAGATGGATATTTATAGAGCTATGATGAGGACGACAATTGATTACGAGTGCATAGTTTATGGAGCATCGGCGAAGACTTGGCTTCAGAGGCTGGACAGAATCCAGTATAGAGCTTTAATGATATGTGTTGGTGCATTTAAATCAACATCTGTAAGTGCCTTACTAGTGTAGGCAGGGGAGATGCCTTAGGACATACGCCGCAAAAAAATTGTCATTAGCTTATTGGATTAGACTGAAAGGTTGTGAGGTTGATTAGCCCACTGTTATTGTTCTAGATGAATGTTGGGAAAATACTAATAGACAAGGCAGTGGCTTTGGATGAAACGTTGGAAAGCTTGCTGAGGAGAGTGGTCTGAGGGAGTTGGAGGTTGTCCCTTCTGTGGGGATGGGGGATGTTCCTCCGTGGTTACTACCGGCTCCTATTGTTGATCTAACCTTGGTGAAAAAAAAAAGATTAGCCAGACGTCAGTGATATAGGGAAACTGGTTGACAATTACATTGGTAGATGCTTTTATGCATTTTTTACCGCATTTCACAGATGGCTCCAAGGATCCAGATAGTGGTCGCACAGGAGGAGGCATTTACTTTCCTGATTTTGATGTGCAGATACAGTATGTAGAAGACTAACAGATTAACTGTCTGTATACTCTGTTGGAATATTGGCGATAGTAGCTGCCCTCCAATGCAGTGGAGGATGTTCAACCTGTCAGAATTGTATTATACTCAGATTCTGTCTGTATTTAGTAGTTTATCTTCTGGCAAATCTAATAGTGATCTACTAAGTAGTTCTTGAGACAAACCGGTGCGCCTGGCGCCTACTACCATACCCCGTTCAAAGGCACTTCAATCTTTTGTCTTGCCCATTCACCCTCTGAATGGCACATGTACACAATCCATGTCTCAAGGCTTAGAAATCGTTATTTAACCTGTCTCCCCCCTTCATCTACACACGTGACATGAATAAGGGATCATAGCTTTCACCTGGTCAGTCTATGTCATGGAAACAGCAGGTGTTCTTAATGTTTGGTATACTCAGTGTATCTAACAATGTAGAGCTAATGCAAATCGTGATTGACCACAAACTCCAGCACAGTAGGTGGCGGCATGCACCTTAAACGTTTGTTTGTGGACCGCCATTAGACCATAGACGAAGAAGTAGTAGACGTCATTTGACAGCGCCATCTCCACTGGCAAGCAAATTTCAATGACAACCTGCATATGTAACACATGTTAGTTACAGAATAATAGAGCCAAATAACTATTCATTTAACAATGCAACGAGCCGTTTTTGCACATATTGCATTGCATGACTGGACGCATGTTTTCAGTCCTTTGAGGATACGGCAATGTTGTTTGCAGCACAGAGGTAGGCACTCAATGCTGTTTAGCTAGCTACAATGCTAAAAACAAGTCTGCTCAAGTGTTCATACATGAATGCTGACCTACGAATGTCTTAGCTAGTCATATATAATTTGTCAGGGGTCAGTTTCTGTCTTGTTTGCATCCTCCTAGCAGCTCAAGTGAGTTTTGTAGCTAGAGCTGGTTATTAGCTAGCTAGCTAACTAGCTGGAAATTTTACCTTTTGTTGACATGGTGCTTTTGTAAGGGGTGGGACACTTCAGTCGTTATAGCTAGCTATGTTGTTCTACAACAAAAAAATTACGGTATGGCAGGTGACATGTTCGACTGCAAAGTAAGCTAGCTACATATTTTGATAAGTTTTTTCGTCCTGTTTAAAGCACTACCAGTACAGCTCAGTTCTCGGGCATACAGTGTGATCCCGCCCCCGCGCGACGAAGCAGAGAAGTCTATGCTGGACAGTATGTTGCGGGTGGACCACGCAGGAGAATACGGTGCCAACCGCATCTACGCCGGCCAGATGGCAGTGTTGGGAAGGTCGCAGACAGGACCGCTTATTCAGGTATTGGTAGTCTGCATGACACATGCACAGATGTAGTTACTTTTCTTTAATTCTTGCAGTTGACAATAGCCAAACTACTTTTTTTTTTTTTTTGATGAGTCACTATAGGCTACAATTCCAGTTTCCCCTAAGTTAACTTTTTGACAATAATTAAAGAAAATGGATGTAATCATGTTGTCAGTGCTTGGTGACCCTCAAAAACAATATGTTGACATTCCATCATCCTCAATTATATTCATTTTCACCCTGTTTCAAGGAAATGTGGGATCAAGAGAAGAAGCATCTTGCCAAATTCAATGAGATCCTTGCAGAAAACAGAGTTCGCCCAACATTACTGTTACCCCTCTGGAACGTTGCAGGCTTTTTACTAGGTAAGGAACAAGGCTTCACCCCATACAGTCAACAGTTGTCTCATATGCCTGCCATATAAACAAAGGGAAGGGATAAATATATTAGATTCTAAAATAAATAGCTAAGATGTAATGAATTAAAACAGATCTGTAGGTAAGTACTTTAAAAGTGCCATTGTAATGTATACTCTGTCTGTGACTTCTGTTGCAATGAGACAATAATCCCCTACAGCAGTATGATACATATGGCTCTCGGGGGACAGACAATATTCTGTTCTGTGTGTCCCCCCAGGGGCGGGCACCGCTCTGCTGGGTAAAGAAGGTGCCATGGCCTGTACTGTGGCCGTGGAGGAGAGCATCTCAGAGCACTACAACAGCCAGATCAGAGCCCTCATGGAGGAGGACCCAGACAGATATGTAGAGCTGTTAAAAGTAAGATAATGAACCATCCCTCATACCGTAGGCCCTGGTGTTTTTCCTGACCAGGAACAACTCTGGGCTCTATCAAGAAAAACTCTGGGCCCCACCTAGGGCTCTTATTTGGTTTACACTAGCTTCTATAGCCACAAAGTCAAATTCCACAGCCACAAAGTCAGGTTCCGCAGCCACAAAGTTACAATTGAGGCTTTTTTATTTAAGGTTAGGGTTAGGCATAAGGTTAGCAGTGTGGTTAAGGTTAGGGTAAGGTTTAAAATCAGATTTTAAGAAGATATATTGTAGAAATGGGCGGGGTTTATGACTCTGTGGCTATAGTAGCTAAAGACGACCCTCTTACTTTCCTGGTCAGGAAAAACCCTACTCCTATATTTTACTAATGCATACTGTACATTGTCTTGAGTGTTTGTTGTCTTTGTTTCTGAGAAGTGAATGTGGCCATTTATTTTCCATACAGTTAATAAAGGAATTCCGAGATGATGAGATGGAGCATCATGATACAGGACTGGAGCACGATGCTGAATCTGTAAGCCCTCTTTCCCACTTTGATCTTTAGGTTGTACTCTATTTAATCATTTGGTTAAGCTTCTGTTGTTATGATAATTTATTACATTTCTTAGCGCTTTTCATAGCTTTTCTCAAAGCGCTTCAAGAGCAAAAATCAAACAAGCATTATATCATTACAGGTCAATGATGCTGTTATTGTGTTGTTATGTTGATGTTGTTGCATAATAATGTCTCAGTGTTTCTCGGTCTTTTTATGTTGTGGTTTATTGTCTCTAGATCATTATGGGTTTTCCTTTAAATTTGTTCCATAAAAACAAGGAATTGATTCCATCTCATTACCTCCCACTCTGGGTCATGGTGGGAAAGATTGCATGCGGCTTGGGAACACTGTGGTATACATTCCTTCACTGTTTACTGTCAAACGTCATATACTTTGAACTATTCTGATATAGGTTTTCTTGTGTTTTTTTTTTCTTTTGTTTTAGCTACCCGGATACAAGCTTTTGAAGAGTGCAATACAACTTGGCTGCACAGCCGCAATATACGTATCTCAGCGCGTCTAAAGTAATAATGAATTCAGTTTCTCAAAGATGGTTATCTAAAAAATAGAATGATTTAAGTGATGTAAATTGATATGTACATTGTATTAGTAAAGTGAACCTGGCTACTTTGTACAATATAGTAGTCGGTGCGTTTTTCCAAAAAAGGACTCCCATAAAAAAGATGTGGTTTTTGTCCAATTGTAACCCAGTTGTTGTAATTTACTTCAATGCTATCACTAGCAGCAAAACCATATAGCTAGCAGCTCAATGCTGCTTGACAGTTGAAACCTGTCTGAGTTGACATCCTAGAGCAAGTTGTCAAAGTGATATTGGTGGGAAAGTTGGTGTAATTCTACCCTCTGCTCTGGTCTAAGTGATGGGGATAGTGTGTTATCCTGCTATAGTAAGGTATTGTGGTCATCACTGACAGAGCTGGAACCTACTGTCCTTATCTAGTAGTTTTGTAACATCATTGATACTAAGTAATGTACTACATACTGTAATTACCTATCTGTTAGGTTTAATTGTTTGAATGATTAATCACCTTTCCACTGCAACCCCCCCCCCCCCCCCCCCTTTGTTATTCTCCGAAAGTTAAATATCCAACATAGTTCTAACGAGGTCATATCGATATAGGCATTCTCACGCCATCACCATACCCTTCAACAAACTATCCTCTTTCACACATTATGGTTCATCAATCAAGATGAACAATAGCTTGTCAGTCCAGATGAATGGTTAAGCCTCTTACACAGCTGTTCCAGTACATGTCATCACAGTGAAAGAAGGATTGACAACTGATGGGTGCTGGCAGGGGGGTCTAGCTAATCTATGCCGTTCAGCGCTGCAGAGAAGTGTTCAGATTGTTCAGTTTACTCCCTAGAGACCCCTGTATTGACTATAGGGATTGAAGTGTCCTTATAGGATGTTCTGTACTGACCTAGTGCCTGAGATCTGCCCTAGCCACTTCAGATGCAGTGTATAGTACACATCAGTTGGCACAGAGAGACATATCGACCTCCATTTCACGTGCAATGTGTGCGATAGAATGCAAAGTTGCTAAGAGAGAATACAAAGTAGCTGCATTGTTGTTGTTTGTGCAACAAAGAAGGTCAAAAGGAACAGTGTGATATCATTCTGACGTATATTATTATTCGACAGCACTGATCCCACACTGGCTCTGTGCCTTTTGTACGAGGGTGCCTCTGGAAGCCGAGCTACAGCCCACATATGTGTTTTGAACTGTTTTGAACTGTTTTCTGTCCCTGCCGGGCCAGCCATGGCCCATGAATGGCCCACTGAACTGTTTTCTGCCCCTGCCGGCCCAGCGATGACCCATGAATGGCCCATGAACAGCCCACTGAACTGTTTTCTGCCCCTGCCGGCCCAGCCACAGTCCATGAATGGCCTGCTGAAGTGTCTTCTGCCCCAATGTCGAGGGACGTGTTTTCATCTTGACATGAGACTACTTTAGATATCTGAAAACATCCGACAAACTTTAATTTGGAAGTGTAATCTCCCTTTAAACTTCACAAGGTATTGTTTGTATGTGTGTGTGTCAGTGTGTGTGTCGTCACCTGTACCCCAGCTGTTTTCTGCCCCTGCCGGCCCAGCCACGGCCCAGGAATGCCCCACTGAGGAGTCATTTCTCACAGGGGCCAGATCGCAGGTTCTCAGACAGGGAGTTATTTCCCCCAGCATGAGTTCAGAGGAGTTTTTTTTAGATGGGGTGGGTTTACATATCAGACCTGACCCTAAAGGTTAACGTGCTGTAACTCTGCTCGTTGTGTGCCCTCTGCCTTAAAAATAGGCCCCCCTCATGTAATGCACCGAGCAGGCCGGCTGGCACACACCCCAAGATGGACAAAACTACCCAAACGTATTACGAGTCCTATACCGGGAAACACTTCGTTTAAACCTTACCCATCCACCCAGCGTACTATTAGCAGTCCGCGATGACTTATGATGACATGACGACACAAACCGAGAGGCGCATGTATGTAGGTGAAGTCTTTTTGGGGGGATGATGGGATACACAGACTGACATGGATTGGTTTGCTCTGTGACCTAGTCCCATATCCCCTCCCCTCTTCCTTGGTACTATGTTCTCATGTACGTTTTAATACCTTCTGATATCACAGCATAAAGATACAAGTGTATCTATCTGAACCGCCAGTGAGTCTCTTTCATTATTAATAAACGCTGACTTACACTACCGGTCAAAAGTTTTAGAACACCTACTCATTCAAGGGTTTTTCTTTATTTTTACTGTTTTCTACATTGTAGAATAATAGTGAAGACATCAAAACTATGAAATAACACATATGGAATCATTTAGTAACCAAAAAAGTGTTATTCAAATAGCTACCCTTTGCCTTGATGACTGCTTCGCACACTCTTGGCATTCTCTAAACCAGCTTCACCTGGAATGCTTTTCTAACAGTCTTGAAGGAGTTCCCACATATGCTGAGCACTTTTTGGCTGCTTTTCCTTCACTCTGCGGTCCGATTCATCCCAAACCATCTCAATTTGGTTGAGGTCGGGAGATTGTGGAGGCCAGGTCATCTGATGTAGCACTCCATCACTCTCCTTCTTGGTAAAATAGCCCTTACACAGCCTGGAGGTGTGTTGGGTCATTGTCCTGTTGAAAAACAAATGATAGTCCCACTAAGCGCAAACCAGATGGGATGGCGTATCGCTGCAGAATGCTGTGGTAGCCATGCTGGTTAAGTGTGCCTTGAATTCTAAATAAATCACGGACAGTGTCACCAGCAAAGCACCCCCACACCATAACACCTCCTCCTCCATGCTTTTCCCCTGAGAAATACACATTCAGAGATCTTCCGTTCAACCACACCGTGTCTCACAAAGACACGGCGGTTGGAACCAAAAATCTCAAATTTGGACTCCAGACCAAAGGACACATTTCCACCGGTCTAATGTCCATTGCTCGTTTCTTGGCCCAAGCAAGTCTCTTCTTCTTATTGATGTCCTTTAGTAGTGGTTTCTTTGCAGCAATTCGACCATGAAGGCCTACAGTCTCCTCTGAACAGTTGATGTTGAGATGTGTCTGCATTTATTTGGGCTGCAATTTCTGAGGCTGGTAACTCTAATGAACTTATCCTCTGCAGCAGAGGTAACTCTGGGTCTTCCTTTCCTGTGGCGGTCCTCATGAGAGCCAGTTTCATCATAGCGCTTGATGGTTTTTGCGACTGCACTTTAAGAAACGTTCAAAGTTCTTGAAATTTTCCGTATTGACTGACCTTCATGTCTTAAAGTAATGATGGACTGTCATTTGTCTTTGCTTATTTGAGCTGTTCTTGCCATAATATGGACTAGTTTTTTTACCAAATAGGGCTATCTTCTGTATACCCCCCTACCTTGTAACAACATGACTGATTGGCTCAAATGTATTAAGAAGGAAAGAAATTCCACAAATTAACTTTTAAGAAGGCACACCTGTTTATTGAAATGCATTCCAGGTGACTACCTCATGAAGCTGGTTGAGAGAATTCCAAGAGTGTGCAAAGTTTTCATCAAGGCAAAGGGTGGCTATTTGAAGAATCTCAAATATAAAATATATTTTGATTTGTTTAACACTGTTTTGGTTACTACATGATTCCATATGTGTTATTTCATAGTTTTGATGTCTTCACTATTATTCTACAATGTAGAAAATAGTACAAATAAAGACAAACCCTTGAATGAGTAGGTGTTCTAAAACGTTTGACTGGTAGTGTATAGGCTACCCATCATCAATCATAAAGTTCCCGCTTTAGCTCTTGTTGCAAAACCGTCTATAAATTTGAATCTGAGGGATGCACAAACAAAGCATCTCTGCAAGCCGTGCATTTGGCAATCGCTGCTAATAGGCTTATATTCTACTGTTGGATATCTGGCAAGCAAATTGCTAATTAGCTACTAATATACACTGAACTAAAATACACTATAAACACAACTTCTTCACCTGCGGGATCGTCTGAGACCAGCCATCCGGACAGCTGATGAAACTGGGTTTGCACAACCAAATAATTTCTGCCCAAGCTGTCAGAAACCGTCTCAGGGAAGCTCATCTGCATGCTCATCGTTCTCACCAGGGTCTTGACCTGACTGCAGTTCGGCGTCGTAACCGACAGTGGGCAAATGCTCACCTTCGATGGTCACTGGCACACTGGAGAAGTGTGCTCTTCATGGATGAATCCTGATTTCAACTGTACCGGGCAGATGGTGGACAGTGTGTATGGCGTCGTGTGGTTGAGCGGTTTGCTGATGTCAACGTTGTGAACAGAGCGCCCCATGGTGGCGGTGGGGTTATGGTATGGACAGGCATAAGCTACGGACAAAGAACACAAATGCATTTTATCAATGGCAATTTGAATGCACAGAGATCCTGAGGCCCATTGTCGTGCCATTCATCCGCCGCCATCACCTCATGTTTCAGCATGATAATGCACGGCCCCATGTTGCAAGGATCTGTACACAATTCCTGGAAGCTGAAAATGTCGCAGTTCTTCCGTGGCCTGCATACTCACCAGACATGTCACCCATTGAGCATGTTTGGGATGCTCTGGATCGACGTGTACGACAGCGTGTTCCAGTTCCCACCAATATCCAGCAACTTCGCACAACCATTGAAGAGGAGTGGGACAACATTCCACAGGCCACAATCAACAGCCTGATCGACTCTATGCGAAGGAGATGTGTGGCACTGCATGAGGCAAATGGTGGTCACACCAGATACTGACTGGTTTTCTGATCCACGCCCCTACTTTTTTTTTGAAAGTATGACCAACAGATGCATATCTTTATTCCCAGTCATGTGAAATCCATAGATTAAGGCCTAATGAATTTATTTCAATTGACTGATTTCCTTATCTGAACTGTAACTCAGTAAAATCTTAGAAATTGTTGCATGTTGCGTTTTATATTTTTGTTCAGTGTGTGTGTTTATGACTTTGCAGCTTCGCACATGGCTTCATGTTTTTGTGCAACAATTAGGAGTTGAATATCATTGGAATAGTGATAATAGTATATTTAGCAGGCCTAGGCTACATGATGTTGTGGAATGAAATCGTTCCAATAAGCGACAATGTGACTGAGTCCTATAGAGAATGCATGTCCTGCTATTATGGTCCCTAACTCTTCCCATGTCTACATACTGTACATTCATGCCAGGCTACTAGTTTCAAAATTAAAGAAGATATTTAGGTTATTATGACATGACATTTTCACCACTTTGTCACAGTATGGTGCATACTATTTATTGAAACAGGATGTTACCACCTATAGATAAGCTGCATGAGACAGTGGGGTCTATCAATAAGATACATGACCCATTTGGGAGGGGGGGACTCTTTGCGACTAAAGTTTGATCGTCACCGATTATTTCTGTTGCAGATTAATAGTGTTGACAGCTTTATAGCCAAGATGCAAGTCTTTAAAAATAGCAACAAGTGCACAACTGCATTTTTGGCACAACATTGGGTGACAAACTTGCTGTTAAATAAAAACATGAGTGATGACTCGGTCATGATGCAGGTGTTAATAACAGTTAACTATAAAACCCAACGTCTAAATTAGCACCCGTTTTCTAAATTAGCAACGATATTCGATCCTCGATAAGCAGTAGGATTTCGTTACGAGTCTACGGCTCGAGCAGAAATGTATCTTTTTTTATTATGCTGAGTAATATGCTTGATTGACATTTTACATAATGTTATGAAGCTATTTTTAGGATCCAAACATGGCAATCAGGAGACCTGTGGTTGAATTGTTCGGCTTCTTCACCTAGATTCACCTCAGAAGGAATCTGCTGATATATCGACCGAGAAATCAGCAACAAGAATTTGAAAATAGCAATAAAACTCCCGAATGAGACCGTGAATAATCAAGGCCGTAAATTTTGAGCACGTGGACAATATAAATCCATATAAGTCATAAAAGCTTTCGGATGCAGAGCATATTGTTTCTTGGCCTAGATCTACAGGGTTGTCCATCACCTGCCTTGGGATAGAATCTGACTGACATTGATCATACGGTGCCATTCTCTCAGCAGGATCACAATAGAGCTCAGTTCTGAAATCCACACTATCATACTACTAAGAATGGATATTGGAACATAATCGGAGTCTGTTGATATGAAGAAGCCACTCGTTAGGTTAAGACACCGTTCATTTATTTGTGGATTCAAGAGGCTTCCCCATGGACTGTCTTACGCTCCTAATGTATAGAGGAAGTTGTGAGGTGAATGGCATTTTCCAGCCTGCTATTTACCTTACTAATAAGTAAACATTTTGTTTCTTTGAGATTCTTTGAAACAAAATAACATCTCTAACTCTCCCATAATGCTGTATGTTGATACTTTTTGGCCTTTTACTTTTATGCTGAACAAACCTATCCTTCTGATGTTAACTAAAAGGTAGCACTTCCTATCTGTCTTCTTTGTGTACTTTTTTCTGGTTAATTGTGACTCAGACCGTATTCTGTGGAAAGTCATTGGGTTTGATCTGTTTTAAACATTGCAAAACCAGGTGCAAGTGCTTGGTACTGTAACGGGGGTTTTACTGGCCTAAAAAAATAATTCACGATTATTTTCAAAAGACTGATTGACCTTTAAAATAAAACATATTTAACAGAACTTGTAACAGTTGCATTGATAGATTAAAGCAAGTGCAACTAGCCAATCATATTTTGTTTTGGTTTGTATCACAACATCAGTCAGCCTAGTGGGAGAGTCCCTCCTTTATTATCAGAGCCCACTAGCGCAGATGCTAGCTGTCACGTTACCATAAATTCAAGCAGAATTCCTACGCTGTGTTTGTATGTTAGAATTCTGTTCTTGTTTGTCACAGCATCCATGCCGGCAACCTTTATGAGAGCTTCTGAGAAGTGAGTGGCCATTAGCTTGAACTAACCCAGTGCAGGGCTCAACACAATGGTGCTGGCCAGTGGCCAATTCTGTATACAAATTTGGTTGTCAAAGTAAAAAAAAAACGTTTATCTATACTACCTATTTTAGCTGGACGTGGGAGTGAAAGTAGATGAGCGGGAATAACATGTTTTTTGAAAGATACATACACTGACTTCTGTTTCCAGTTAATCGTCAGGCTGGTGGGTCCCCTCCCTCCCCCTGTGAAAGCGTGGCTCTGGAAAAGCTGTGTCCACGTGTCCACACAGTGGGAAGCCACAACCCATGATGCAAAGGACTGACATCACCTCAGCATGAATCCCTGATTTACGGCCGCCCCAACATGAGCAAGACCGCCACCCACCAGCTCCAGAGAAATCCAGCCAAGGTCATGTTCTGTATATGGGTTAAAAGTTGCATATGAAATGTTTAGCAGGGTCACATAGTCATAGTGGATGGATGCTGGGATCAGTACTAGGGTCAAATCTATTTTGACCCCAACCCTGGCTTAGGGTTCCTTTTATAGTGTGACATCATTGCATTTTTGTCAATATATATTTTCTAAGATCAGTTACTAGTGGGCTTACCTTTCACTGTGAGGATTATTAGTGGTAAACATAGACTTTGAACTATTATTATCAATCATCATCAAACAATAGTTGAGAATATGGTTGAAACCAGAAGGTTTACCATTAACATGAATCTACTTCTATAGATTCAGGACATTAACATTAACTTCCAAGACTCCGATAGAGCTCTTATTCATTGGTGGTAGTACAGGACAATAGGCAAGCAGCTTGGTGAGAAGGCAACAACTGTTGGCGCAATTATGAGAAAAGAGAAGAAGTTCAAGATGACGGTCAATCACCCTCGGTCTGGGGCTCCATGCAAGATCTCACCTCGTGGGGCATCAATGATCATAAGGAAGGTGAGGGATCAGCCCAGAACTACACGGCAGGACCTGGTCAATGACCTGAAGAGAGCTGGGACCACAGTCTCAAAGAAAACCATTAGTAACACACTACGCCGTCATGGATTAAAATCCTACAGCGCACGCAAGGTCCCCCTGCTCAAGCCAGTGCATGTCCAGGCCCGTCTGAAGTTTGCCAATGACCATCTGGATGATCCAGAGGAGGAATGGGAGAACGTCATGTGGTCTGTCTCCTGAGTGGCGCAGTGGTCTAAGGCACTGCATCGCAGTGCTAACTGTGCCACTAGAGATCCTGGTTCGAATCCAGGCTCTGTCGCAGCCGGCCGCGACCGGGAGACTCATGGGCGGCGCACAATTGGCCCAGCGTCGTCCAGGGTAGGGGAGGGAATGGCTGGCAGGGATGTAGCTCAGTTGATAGAGCATGGCGTTTGCAACGCCAGGGTTGTGGGTTCCATTCCCACGGGGGGCCAGTATAAAAAATAAAAAATGTATTCACTAACTGTAAGTCGCTCTGGATAAGAGCGTCTGCTAAATGACTAAAATGTAAATGTAAATGTAATCATTATGTGTGCTTGTCCTCATCAGCCAGGGCTGTGCAGCTGTGTTGGCAGTTGGCACACTGTGTTGTGGATCAGCTGGAGAGGCTTATGTGAGGGCCAGGGCCCTGCTGCCTGCCTGCCTCTGAGCGTAGCGTGACCCTGCAGGCATATACATCAGCACAGTGACAGGCTGGGTGCTCGGCCGCTCAAGCATGACTCCAAGGCCACGTTGCTGCTCCTCTGTGTCATAAGCCCCAACGACTCTTCAAGCTATTCACCGAAACATGTCCCCAGGCCCCCTTGGCAAGATGGCAATGACATGGGCAATGGGAGGCTGTTCATGGACTTAGCAATACTCAGCTAGTAAGTTTGCAAGTACGATTTATTTGGTTAATGTGGTGTTTTTTGGTATTAGGCGTGCCACAGGGCTCGGTTCTTGACCCAATTAACGAGGGGCTGAGAGGAGGGAACATCAGATGCACCCCTCCATAGCCTCTCGCGGACACACCATACCTACGGGCCGATGTCATGCCACCGTGTCTACGGCCGTTACATCATCTGCTCCTGAAGCCGACCCCGTTCTCACTGCTATCGGTCCCCTCCATCCATCACGCTGACTGGTTGACAGTTTGCAGAAGGTTGCAACGCAAGGCCTCTAAACACCTGGCTCTAGCCGAGAGCGTTGCCCACTCCACCTGCTAGTTGTCTTTAGTGGCCGTTTCACACTTTGCACCAATACCAGTAAAGTCCTTTCTGTCGACTGGGCTGGTTGAAGGGTGAGTCCTGCCAATGCTGTTTCTCATTGCTCTCCGCTGAGCCCGGCTTTCACGCAGCTCGTAAACATGCCACTCTCCTGGCTCATCAGTCACGGGCCCTCTCCCTTCACTGATGCCCTACAACGCTGGTGACAACCCTGATATCAGGGTGATGTGGTAGCAGATTGCCAACTTAAGCTCCTGTGTGGTTTGTATGTCACTGCGGCCTGGATCCACACCCACAGAGCTTCTGTATTCTGTCCTCTTACAAGTTGACTTCAAGCTGCTTTGAATACTGTTCACACATGGTATTCGTTGACCGGTGGACACCCACGTGGCCAGCATATGGTGGGCATTTACTGCCCGTGTGCTTGATTTTGAAGTTGTTACCAGTGGGTCATAACCTTTTCTGTGTTGTGGTGTATGTCATTTCTTTGATGCTCTCTGCCGACCGATATTCTAGCTCGCCATCAGCTCACTGATACAGGTGATGACACACATGCAGACAAAGTGTCCTGGACCACCCGAGCTTTAGCTGTCTATAGCCTGACCTTGAAGATGCATAGGCTACGTGAGAAAAAAACAACACAGGGAGAAAGTATGCATCTTATGTGCTCAGGGGTCAAGCTTCTAACCCTGCTAGTGTTCAGTTCAGCAGGTCTTTACGGCCTCTGCACATTCTGTGTGAGGTTATGCTAAATGTTTTTCTTTACAAGTAAAGTGCAGTAGGTAATGGAGTAGGTAATGGACCTCGGAGATGAGTGTGTGTGTGTCATGTTCTCACTGTGGTTTGGAGAGGCTTGGCCCCTGACCTCTAGCTGGTTCAGAGAGTTGAAACCAACCTGGGGAGCCGAGAACATTGAATGTGCTTTCGCTATTGATCTGAAGCCCGTACGTCCGTAAAAAATGATAATCCGTCGAATCCCATATCAAAGAAAACAAAATAGCAGCAATGCCATCTCAAGCGCTCTGCTCGAGACGTTCTGGCGAAAAGGTGAGAGATTTACAGCACGTTTTGTCTTTAGTTTCTCAGCTATTTGAGGTATCTGTTAAACAGATTGTTGCATTGATTTCTGGGAAGACAGATGGTTGTGTGCATGCTTTCAAGACGACCGAAGGAATGAAGAAATTGTTCAGCTCGGTAGATCAAATTCAGAATAGCAGTGTCATTAGATTTCATTTTATTGTGTTTCGACACATACGTTCTCGCAGACATATTTTCACGCATGTTCCCTCTGGCATAACTTGAAAGTAAAAAAAAATGCTTTAGAAGAAGCTTTCTATTGAGAAGTGAGAATGTGAATCAAAGAATGAGATAAAAAAGACCTTTAATAGAATATGCCAAAGCAATAAGACTAACTATAAATGTCTGATTTAATCCATAACATTGTTTACGAGACACACCAACATTTCTGGATATAATTTCTGTGTTGTAGATACACCTGGATTACTGACTGCTGTAACTGTTGGGTGTATAATGTGCAAACACAGCACAACCCTTAGCCGTTTAGATGAAGGTACCCGGCGCTCAGTTAAAGGGATAGTGAGTGTTTTGTAGGTAGTCGAAACGCTAGTGGTCTAGGCTGCCTAGTGCTGCGAACAGTGCTTTTGTATCAAGTATCCTATGTAACTATCCAATGCCTCTCTCCAAGTCCCCAGCACCAGTCCCAAAATCCCCAGCCCCTATCCCAATCCCTTAACCCCAGCCTCTCTGCTGTCTCTCCCAGTCCCAGGGCCTCATTAAGGGACTTGATTGACACGTCAGGATGGTGTGCATTTCATTGATGAGAATTTTAGAGGCCGGGCTCGTGATCTCCTTCTGTACTGATCAGTACGTCACCCCGCAGCTATCCCAGGGGGACGTGAGATCGGTTTCAAATACCCTGCCTCTTCCCTCAGAGGCAAACCTTCTGTCCTGTCCAGGAGCCCCCAGCCCAACCTGGCCCCCATGGGAGCACAGCGAAAGGTAAAGCAGCTCGCAGCCGGTCAACTACCGCCACATTGTGTAGAACTTGGACTTACTTCTGTACTGTGCATATGCTGTGATTTGTAATATATGACTTGAGAATATATTGCATAGGATGTAAAGGGGAGTTCGGGATTTTATTGGTAATGCTTTATCTTTTCAACAATTATTTGCCTGGAAACTATATAGGAAGATATTGCAGTCACAGTGGTGCTTCTGTAAACAGATTAGGTAACTACCAAATTATACATAATGTTTATTGCTTTAAAGAATCCCAAATAAAGAAATTGTTATTATTATTAGTTAACAATAATGTTATAACTTTCCCATATGTTATCTATATGTAAATACAGAGCTAGATAAAATATGGACTGTAAAATAATCCCCAACCCTCAATTGTTTTCTCTCTCAATTTCGTGACGGTCATCCTTATATTTGTTGTAATAGAGGTTATTTGGGGGTCTTTATCATTCATATGAGTCATTTTCTAACTGTCACTTGTCCTATTCAAGTCACACACAATATAGGCTACCCCAGCAGGTGCAGTAATAACATCAACAATGATTTATACTCTAGACAGTTATATTTCAAGCATTTAGAGTCTTTCAAGCCAGACAATGTTTTGAGATGAATAACCCTTCACGATTTGAAAAAGGTTTTGATGGCAGTGTTATGCACGCAATGCTTTTTGGATGGCTTTAGCTAGAGGCTTTGCATTTTAATTCTCTGTCATAAAATGATGAATTTGACTAAAAGTAAAATATATACATAGCAAATTCTATTGCACAGTGTAAACTTTTGATCAATATATTTATCAAATGTCTATATATTATTAACATTAATAGCCTTCATTTAACACGTTATTGTCTTGTTCTTATAAAGTCTAAATGTTTAATGAAGTGTATTGATTCAGCAGTTTTATGAGAGCAAAGTAAAATACATATACTTAGCTACAGTCCACTTCGCATAACTGCTATTGCTGTCATTTGTTTACCAACACATCTTCTTTCAGTTGGCCAAATTGAAAATGACAAAGGGTAAAGTGCAGCTTGATAAATATTCATTTAGAGCTTCTATCTAATTTATATCATTAAGCTGGAAACCCTTCGCTCAACAAGACAGCCACCACGTGCTTTTGCCACCCAAAGTATCAACCACTCTATACCTTTGTGTGTGTGTCCTCTGGATTTTTCAACATGAGGTCAACATACAGGGGTTATGCCGTCTTGTCGGAGTGTGTTTAAGGTTTGTGCTCTACTGACCTGCGGGGTACATAGCACACAAAAGGATTATGCTGCAGATATGCCAGCCATCTAGGTGTTTAAATCAAAGCACAGGCGAACAGAGGGGAGAGGGGAGAGGAGGAGAGGAGGGTTTGGGGGAGGTAGAGTTTTTTCTTGTTGTGGGACTTGGTCAGGTGGGTGGATGTGTGGGTGGTTGTGTGGGTGTGAGTCGGTAGTGGGTGGGGGTGCTTGAAATATGTTCCGGAGAGCGTGTGTTATCTTTTCTCCTCGCCACTAACCATCCAACACCCCCAGCGTGTCGTCACATAGAACCTGGCGGCAGCTCAAAGGGAATGCTGGGAAATAGGATCCATATGGTGGTACTATAAAGTGCACCTCCAACCCAGAGCCTTCACCAAAAACTGGCCAAGCCGTCCTCAACACCGGCATCCGTTCACCTACAGCCTCTCGTCTCTCCTCTCCTGTCTCCTCAGTAGTACTGCTGCTCCGTTTTACCCAAGGATCCTTCATCACACGTTACCTTTTTCAGGACTGGATACTGAAAGGGGTATGTTGATTTTTTGTGGAATTTAATGGATTCTGATTGTTATTGATCATTGCTTTAATGATTGGACATCTCTTTTAATTTTTGGAAAGGATGTTTGGTATTTGAAGTCAATTTGTCTAACATATCATTAACCTTCATTCATTTTGCAATGCTGGTGCCCAATTACTCGAAACTAAATTGCATCTCTCGCCTATACCATTGAGTAAGGATGGTGTGTTTCAGTGTCTATAAATTGAGTGTTTCATGTAGCATGCTTTGTGCTCTCCTCATAGGCTGACTATGAAGATTCCTGGGCCATGTGGTTTTCCTGCTGCTGATAGGAGGGATTTGTTGCCAGAACAACCGCAATGCCAAACCTAGTGGCAAGTCATCTAAGAAGAACCAGAACCAGGGGGCCGAGGCAGCCCAGTCGGCCCCAGAAGATGAGCCCCATCCTGGGCCAGTGGAGTCGGGCAGGGAGGGTAACTCTGGAGGTCGGGCGGCAGCCCAGCAATCAGCTTCACAGAACAACAAGGCTTCAGATGATATGAAGCTGCATGTCCTCAAGAACACTCAGGTCACGTGCAACGATGGAACAGTGGCAGGGTAAGATGTTCTGGAACACTTGTTATGGAGGAAATGATGGCTGTTTAGATAAGAAAAAAGCTCTAGAAATTGTCTTATGTCCTGAATACAATCTATCAATTTCAGCGAAAATGGATGTGATAACGAATCATATAGTGCTATGAAAATACTGAAATAACTGCTGGCACTAAAAACGATTCAGTTCATGTTTTTGAAATCATCAGTGCTATTACAGCTGTTATTACACTAATGTGTTTTGATATTAGATACAGTAGTAATATAATCCACAGCTATCAGCTATATAAGTTGGTGACAGCAAGTGGTAAATGGCTTTTAATACTATCAGAGGACTTTGAATTAGAGTTTGGGGTTGGACTTTGAAGAAATACAATAATTCATGAATTGTCACATACGTTATGGTACTTAGCATACTTTTTTGATAAGGAGTTACAATGATGAGTGATTATGGTTGGAGGATCGGCCAACACATGACCCTATATAGCAGTGTTCTCTAGGTTTCACACATTCACAGCCCTTCAACCATGTTTATTTGTGGTCCACAGGTTTTACCTAAAGGAGTTCAAAGGGAGTAAGCGATGGCTGATATTTCTGGAAGGTGTGTATTTTAAACTCAACTGGTTAATTTGATCTTGAGAGGTCAGCGCATGGCATGTTTGCGTGACGCCCTCATCGGCATCTGGACCAGTGGTCATCTCCTTTCCCTTTTCCCTGTCACTCTGATTGGACGCCTCCTCCGGCATTCGCCCCTCCGTCACTATGGGATATTTATGAGGATTGCGTTTTGACATCACGTGTATTCTGAGACCTAGAACCGGATGTGTCACATCCTCTAAGAACAAACATTTCAGCAGGTTGAATTCAGCAGGTTGAAATGTCACAACATACATGTCCTACATCATAGGTACTTTTCTGTTGGATACAGGTCAACAAGTACCAATATGTCTACTTTTTTATATGGCAAGTATCTGATTAGGTCACAAATGCCACAGGTTTGTTAATTCTTTTATTTTCTCAGCAGGTGGTATTGCTCCAAAAGACTTGACTTACATTTTATTTACATTTTAGATTTGCATATAAGCATAGCTATGGTTAAGATTATAACTCAACCATTAATGGACCCCAGGTGGGATTTTAGTAAGCAGTTACATAATAGTTACCAAGTTATATCCCTGCCGTTTCTATTCAACAGTCCATTGCCATACATGTGCATCAGACCCCACAGACACTCCCTCAGTTAGGGAGCCTGACCAGAGGCTAGCAGATGGAGCTGCAGGTGGATGCCTCAGTTACCCTCCCTCTCCCATTTCCTCCCACCCCCCATTCCTCTCAGGCCTCCGAAATGGGCTAACAAGGGGGTCTCCCTTTCTGAGCTTCTGAGACCGGATGTGAGAAGCTAATATTAGTGTCTTATTTTTAGGCGGTTGGTGCTGCTACAACAAAGACTCCTGCGATACCAGGTATAAAAATATCCCACGACTCATGACCTCATCCGACTGGCCCCAAACACGCAAAGGTAGGTAGGGGTCCTCCTGTTTTAGAATGCATCCTCATCATTCATCATACATGTTTTACATGGGCGTGCATGTTTGGTCTCATTCCCAATATACATTGTGTCATGGGTTGTTGATTGTCATGTGACATCAGTGTTGTGTCCTACCGTATGTCCATTGAGAGGACACCACTGTCTCTGCTTGACTTTCCATTGGTTGCTTTACAGGAAGTGGGATATTGTCAGCCCAGGCGGAAGAAAACCCTCATTGGTATAACACTAATATTGTGTAAGTATGCTTGTTTACACGCTGGTTGTTGTATGTTACCGGTACATGTTGTCCTATACTGTACTGCTATATCTGCCAGTTAGAATATTAGCCAAAGTTGGTAAGGGCCAGAACTAAAGTTCCCAGGATCTGTGTGATTGAAGAAGCCAACTGCAGGCTGAGTTGATGAATATCAAACATGACATGCTTCACGATGAGGGATGAACCTCTCTTGTAGATCCCATGAATCCTATTACATATGTACATGAATACGTGTGTGTGTGTGTGTGTGTGTGTGTGTGTGTGTGTGTGTGTCTGGCTCTGACCCAGCTGTGTATCTCCTCTTCTGCAGATTCATCCCGTACTGCTCCAGCGACGTGTGGAGTGGCACAGGGCCCACAGCCACCAAGCAGAAGAGAGGCCAGGGAAAAGAGAAGGAGAAAGATGCCAGTAGGTCCTCTCACCACCAGCAAATCCTCATTATTTTCCTCAACACCAAAGCAATTTCAATACTGTGCTTTGTTCTATTGATTGTATATCTATGTTTCCCTCCAGTTGAGTATACCTTCATGGGTTCACTGATCATCCGTGAGGTCGTCAAAGACCTAGTCCCTAAAGGCATCAAACAGGCCAAGGTTGTCATGCTGGCTGGCACGAGGTGAGTCCCATCTCCCCTGCTTTGGGTCTGCTCCCAATCCAGCCCCCTTATCTGTCTCCACTACCCACCTCCACACACACACACACATACACACACACATTGACGGAGTGAGTCTATTTTAGGACATCCTGTAACTGTTGTCTACCATAAAGATGTTTACGAGCCCTGCTGTCCTGTATTGGCCGTAGAGTGTGGGACAATGACATAATGTCTATTAGGGGCCTCTCCCATAAAGGAGGACACAGTTCTGGGGATTCTTCCCAGGTTAGCAACATGGTTGGTGGGACACCCTGAGGGCTAAAACAAGAACACACAGTTAAGTCTGATTGTGACAGCATAGCTAATTCATTATTGTGGTTAGTTGACATGTCGGCCATTTTGGCTCCAATAGGCAGTGTGCCAATGCGGGGAAACGGTCACAGACACAGGCTTTTTACCCAGTTTCTTTGCTCCCCTGCAGTGCTGGAGGGACGGGAGTGCTACTGAACATTGAGAGGGTGTCCAGTCAGCTAGAGCAACTGGGGGCAGAGGCCCAGGTTCGAGGCCTGGTGGATTCAGGCTGGTTTCTGGAGAGTAAACAGCAGAGGGTTCCTGACTGCCCAGACAGTGTCTCCTGCTCACCTGTAGACGCCATCAAGAGAGGACTCAAGTAAAGCACATCTGTCTCTCTACCTTCAGCTTATTCAATTGGACATTAATGTCTCTATGACCTTATAATGACAGATGCCCTGAACAAAGCATTGCGTCTCATCACACTTGTAGCTTTATTTCCATTGGCTTGAAGTTCACCAATCATTTTAGCATATAACAGTTGCCCTGTCTATGTTCAATGCACACTGGAAGCCATTTTTCTCCAATCGCTGTTTTCTTAGGCTGTGGAACGGGCTGGTCCCAGACAAGTGTCGGCAGCAGTGCAAGAGAGGAGAGGAGTGGCAGTGCTTCTTCGGCCACAAACTCTACTCCTCCCTGACCTGTGAGTGTCTTTACTACCTACCATCATCTTTTATCTATCCAGCTGAAGGGTCATGAATCAGAATGTTAGTCAACTTTATGTCCATCATGTTACCCATCAAGATCCCAATAAATGTTACGTCCCTCATGTTACTCAATAAAACATTTATAGGTACAAGCAACACCCTAACTCTGATCTCATACTGTGACTTTCCCTCCTGTGTGTGTGTGTGTGTGTGTGTGTGTGTGTGTGTGTGTGTGTGTGTGTGTGTGTGTGTGTGTGTGTGTGTGTGTCATAGCCCCTCTGTTTGTGGTGCAGTGGCTGTTTGATGAGGAGCAGCTGAGAGTGGAGAATATCTACCTGGGGGGTCAGACCCTGTCAGAACAGCAGTGGACCTACATGCAGAACCTGGGAAAGGATATCAAGAACTCACTCAAAGATGTCACGTAAGTGTCCACCTGAAGCGACGGTAGTGACTGTGGATGTGGTAGAGATTGACATATAGGCCAAGAATTCACAAAACCTAAATTTCAGGATGAAAACATTAAGAACACCCCCCCTCTTGCCCTCAGAACAGCCTCAATTCGTCAGGGCATGAACTCTACAAGGTGTCGACAGCGTTCCACAGGGATGCTGGCCCATGTTGACTCCAGTGCTTCCCAAAGTTGTGTCAAGTTGGATGGTGGACCATTCTTGATACACACGAAACTGTTACCCATTCACCCTCTGAATGGCACACATACACAATCCATGTTTCAATTGTCTCAAGGCTTAAAAAATCATTATTTAACCTGTCTCCTCCCCTTCATCTACACTGATTGAAGTGGATTTAACAAGTGACATCAATAAGGGATCATAGCTTTCACCTGGATTCACCTGGTCAGTCTATGTCACGGAAAGAGCAGGTGTCCTTAATGTTTTGTACAGTCAGTGTATACAATTGATCAGCTGAAATGGAAGATTTGCAACAATGAAACAACAGCAATATTCTCCACATGTTCCCAACACTATCAAAGATATCACTCTGCTCAGTGCTGACGTTATACTGTGGTGTGTGTTGCAGGGCTGTGTTCGCACCCTCCTGCCTGTCCCACACATTGATCACTAAAAGGTAAGGACATCTGACTCCCTGGGGGCCCTGAAAAGCACATCATATATCCCCTCTACCCCTCACCCCTACCTTGACCCCTCTCTACCCAGTGAGCTCATGCTACTCTTTTTGTGTAGCTCGTTCATCAAGCCGCATTCTGCGTGTCACTGAATGCCATTTCACACTTTCACTAACCCCCCAGCACCCCTTACACACACACGTACACACACACACGCACCCACCCACGCACCCACCCACAAACGTGCACAAACAAACGCACCCCTGTAAGCAAGCAAACACATACATACTTAAAAGGGAACACACACACTCATAAAATCACACACACTTAACACACACACCTCTCCAGCTGGACATAGGGTCATTGACAGGGCAGAAGGTGGAGCCTATGCTCTGGTAAAGGGCAGGGTTAGAGGTGGGAGGAGTGATTAGCTCAGGGTTGTTGGGGAGGAGCTGGTTGCCTAATCATACTAGTGTGAGGTAGGTGGATCATATTTTCACAGTTTTGTAATCTAATGCAGGGCTATGATTATGGTGGTTATGGTGGTGGTGTTGGAGGCTGGACACATGGAGGGCACAGCTGGGGAACCAATTGAGACACAGCCTGCCAAGGCAAACTGCTAAGCTTGTGAGAAGATATAGGGCTCAAGTGGCACAACACTCTCTCACATTTACCTACTTCTATCATCTCCCCATTCCCTCCCTCCCCCCCCTCTCTCTCTCTCTCTCCTGCCCTCTTTCTATCTCCCTCCCCCTCTTTCTCTCTCTCTCTCCCTCCCCCTCTCTCCTTCTCTCCCTCATTCTTTATATTAGTAACTGGATGACGTTTCAAGTCAAAGGCACCTCCCTGCCCCGGGCTCTGCAGTGCTGGGATAAGAGTTTCCAAGAGGCCAACCGTAACAGCAAGACCCCCCTGAAGGGCTGTCCCTTCCACCTGATCGACACCTGCCACTGGCCCCAGTGCAACCCCACCTGCCCAGCCCTGGTGGACCAGGCCACCCAGCAGGAGCTCACGCTGCTCCAGATGTTAGTGGGCATGGGCCTGGACCTCCAGAAACTAGGCCTGGACCTCAGGAGGGACAGTAGCTCTATAACTAGCATGATCAGTAGCGGTGGCTAAGATAAGATGTATAGAAGCCCATTCTCTGGCTTAGTAAAGGGGAATTTATTATGAGTTATGACGTAACCATAAAAGGTACAGAATCTGGTTACTTCTCTTGTGCCGCTCAGCCATTCCATTGTGCTCCACTGTTACCATGCCGTCTTGAACGGTGGGTATGTCACTGGGCTTACAGTATGTCTGTCTGTAACGTTACAGTTTGCCTCCAGGGTCCCTCTCCTGGACAGTTAAAGAGGGGAGGGTAGTGATTCCCTGGGTTGTGTCTCACATTCACATTCAAGGAGAACGAGGAGTGCCGGGTACCTGTAGCTAACCAGTCAGACACCAAACCTGCAACACACTTTCACCCAACTACATGTACTATACAAAACTTCAACAACATTTTGTGAAGTGAAACGTACTGCTTTTGAGGATTTTTGAATAAGCGATTGGCACATTTTATCATCTTGCCAACATAGGACTGGTACAGTATTCAGAGGAAATGTACATTTTACTGTAGATGGTTGACTGGAAAGAGATATTAGATCCATGTCCAAGCTCAAACACGGTCAGAGAATCAAGGACTGTCTTGCAAGGACACTTGCATTGCCAAGACCATTCTCTAACTTTTATTGTATGTGTTCTACACACACACACACACACACACACACAGCCTATGGTTTATATTGCCCACATTTCTACTGCTGCTGCTATAACAACGTTGACTTTTTAGATATATATTTGATATGCATGTGAAGTAAGGGATGTTTGATCTTGCAAAAGTGGCCCAAATGGAGAGTAATCGTCATACTTTATAATATTGTATATAATCAAGAGAAGGTCGTGACTATCTCTTCTTTCTTTGAGTTTACCGTGAAGTGTGTTTGAACCTAATGTATCTTCCCATGGACCCTTTTAAGTGATGTTTCCTCTTCAAAAATGCTGTAGTTGATACTACTCAGCTACTGTGTCATGTACTGTAATATCTACATCATTTACAACAATAAAGATTCATTTAATGTGATTATATCTATTGTATGGTAATTAAAACAGAATTGTTTGATTTGCTACTGTTTTAAATTGTAAGTAATTAAGTATTGAATAGTAGAGAAAATAATGAAATTATTTACCATGTAAACAGTACTATAATTTAACATGCATTATATATTGGATGTATGTTGAATTGAATACAGAACAATAAATACAAGTTTGGATTATCCTTGAAAACCTATTCAGAGTGAGATTTGTTACTTTCTCTTTGATTGAACCCCCTATTAATAAACATCATTATTTTAAATTCGACCTCAAATTCAGAAGCTCTGAGATTAAAAGAAGAATCTCCACCAGCAGGTTTCAGTAAAGCGTAGTCTACTCGGTAGGCCTACTGGTAAAACATCATGCTGTATTTATTTCCCACACTCCAACCACCAGTTGGCGATCTTTTAGATGTAAACCAAAGCCCCACAAAGACACTATAGTTTGAAAATGTATTACAGATTCCCAACTACTACTGTAAATATGAAAAGAGAGACATCAGAGATGTTTTAGAAAAAGGTTGTAATATGTTTTGGACATTTAACATTTTCTTACCGACACAATTGAAAGATCTTGGTAGATTTGTCTGTAATTTAGACATCTCTGTTTCTTGCACAAATATAATCAGCAATATGAATTGAATGCTTTTGAATCAGCAATATGAATTGAATGCTTCTGTTTTATCAACTTGGAAGTGTGTTTGCATTAGACTAAAGGGTAAATAAAATCACGAGAAAATAAGGATGCATTTGCATCCAAATCACTGTTTGAATAAATATAATATATAAAATAAGGATGCATTTGCATCGAAATCACTGTCTGAATAAATACAATATATATTTTTTTTAATTATCAAACTTATTTTCTATCAAGTTTTCATCAACCCAGTGTTTTTCAGCTGGTGATCGCGTGAGCTAGTCGTAAGAAATCTTAGATTTGTGCCCATAATGCATCGCTAGTTCTTGCTACTTCCTCTTTCCGCCATATTGCAGAACCGGTAAGGGCCCCCTCTAAAATCTCATTGTCAATCTTTCCCAAATCTAACCCATCCAGGCGTCTAAAACACAATTTATGAAATTATATAAACGTTTAATAATGTACTAATGTCATGAAACGGTTATTGTGTCGATATGGTGTGAGATGTTGGTGTTTTGCCTTGTGATTTTGTAAAGTCTCCATCACTGTCCGGTTTACTGGTGTGTTGTATCGGTAGCTAGAGTTCGAACATATGAATAAAACCCGACAATTAATACTGCTAGGCTCCTTTCGGTGTGTTCTTAATTAGTCGACAAATTTGCTTTATTGTCAAGATGTGGTATAAATGTTGAATAGTACAGTTTGGTTGGCTAACTAACCAACTCTGCTAGCCAGCTTGGCCCGTACATGAAGACTTCCATGCGTGGTAGACAGTCACGATGGTGGTGCTTAAATGTATCTGCATGGCCGTGCAAACCTCTTCTAATTTGTTATCAAAGAACCCAACGTTTGTCCCAGTTTTGAAATTGTTGGCGCTAGCGTTAGCCATTCAAGTGTTATGTCTTGGCCAGTGAAATGTAGGCGGTTAGCTTTAACCAGGTAATTTTGAAAGCAAGCATAGCATAATGTGTCTAGAGGTTGCTACCTTAGTAGGTAGCCTTCTATTTTCTTCAGCAAAGTAACCACGTAACGTTAGCTAGCTAGTTGGGCAATAATTTGCTAGGCAATGTCATAGGTAAGTCGATAATCAAATAGTCATCTCATACTCAATGATGTCCATCTACCTACATTTGAGCTAGCTTACAATCAATCTGTTGGCTGACTTATTTGTTAAGTCAGTCAGTTGTAACTTACTGTTAGTAAAATATCTAGCTAGAATAGGCAGCTAACGTTATCTTGCCAGTTTCACAGCATGTTATTAGGAGAACAAACCACTATCAGACTGAATGTTTACTAGTAACTAGCAAGCTGTGCATTAGTTGGCTGCCTTACTACTCCTTCACTTTTATTTTTTAATTTTTTCAATTTCTGATCGACAGGCATCATGGTGCGCATGAACGTTCTTGCGGATGCGCTCAAAAGCATCAACAATGCTGAGAAACGTGGGAAACGCCAGGTTCTGATCCGGCCGTGTTCTAAGGTCATTGTACGTTTCCTGACCGTCATGATGAAGCACGGTGAGTTGCGGAAATGTATCTTCTGTTTTGTAAGAAGTATAGGACCAGTCAAGTGGGAGGGCAAAATAATGTGCAGACATCTGCATAACCCGCTTCCCTCCAGGAGGGGAATTGCTTACCCCTGGTTGAGGGATCTGAGTTCGAGCCCTGTAACATCTTGTTGACAATGCTGTGTGTCTGCTTGGTCTTGATTCCCTGCCTCCCTTGTTTCCCCAGGTTACATTGGTGAGTTTGAGATCATCGACGACCACAGAGCTGGGAAAATTGTCGTCAATCTCACTGGCAGGCTGAACAAGGTAAATGTTCAATATACTGCATCACAAGGACTACAATCAGACAATTTGAGTGCCATTCTGCTTCATTTTACTCATCTTTTGTGCTTCATTTTACTCATCTTTTGTATTGTGGTAGATTGATAGTAGACACTGACCCTTCTGTTTTGCTCATCTTCTTTGACATGTTTTTTCCCCCCTGCTCATATTCTGCATTGTGGCATGATCAACCTAACTGCATAATTGTAGATTTGAATATGGCACTGCTAACCTTTCTTTTGTTTGCTCATATCAGTGTGGTGTGATCAGCCCTCGTTTTGACCTCCAGTTGAAGGATCTGGAGAAGTGGCAGAACAACCTCCTGCCCTCAAGACAGTTCGGGTGAGAATGAACCAGCAGCACCCTAATGGTGGTATGAGTGTTGTAGTGGCCGTATCACTGATTGTGCAGTGGAACGTTGTGAACTGGCATGTATTCATTAGTGGCACGTTGCAAAACGTTTTGCTACGGCGTTTCACTCATGAATGCATCCCTGATGTCGTGTTAATGTGCTCCGTTGGGGTGTATAAAATTGTGCCCTGGGTTTCACTGACTTGAAAGCTCTGAATATTTATTTGGGAGTCACAGCAAATAAACTAATCGCCCTTTATTTCCATGCCGGAATGTTCAGCTTCCGATTAATATCGAGAGCAAGCAAATGCAGCACTAGTCTAGTATTTAAAGACACTGGGAGCTCGCTGGGTTGGAGATTGGAACAGTCATTGAAGTGTACTTTCTTTGAAAAGATAAAGGCAGCCTGGGCGACGGGGACTAAAACCCTTATCAAAACTTAAGTCAGGGATGGGCAACTCTGATCCCTGGGACTGAGTGTCCTCTGTCTGCTCCCACTTTCTACTGAATGTAACCATGGAAATATGATTGCTGCAGTCTCTTGAACACAATTTGACCTGCATGTGGGAAAGTGGGTGAATATGGTTGAATGCTTGAGTCTGCTCTGACAATATGGACAAGAAATCGCCCTCGGTTTTACTTAAGTCCAATGGTGGATGTGGTGAGGGCACGGTCGCAGATTTATTGATCTATGGGATGTGTGGACTGATGAATCCAAGGGGTGTGTCACAATGACTCGTCCGCAACTGTACTGTATTTTTTCTCAAATGTTTATTGAAAACATAAATTCGAAACAATAACCACTTGTTGTGTCTCAAATACATTGTTACAGTGGTTGGCTAGCTAGCAAATTTGAGCCATTAGCAATGACATGAAATCAGTCAAAACACTTCAAAACAAGACATGATATCAAGAACGAGATGAAACTAGCTGAAACGAGTCACTTACGATTCCCCACATGGAATTTTCTTGCCATTGTTGCTAGCTATCTGGCCATCCATAACAACACCTGGACTTCTGCCCCATTGAAACATGTGCATCGTTTTCTCCAGGTTGTCAGCTAACCCATCTATAGTCAACGCATTTTGGCATTCCATGTTTGACATTTACCTGTGTCATAGTCTGCCATAGAAAACCTTTCAAGGCTACAAGCGGAAGAAATATAATTGGCGGTTCATTCAACTCGCAACTTCTCGAACTCAGCCGTATATGAGTTGATGCGTTCACATGGCACACGCGAGCTGTCCAGAGTAAAAAGTGAGCGTTCATCAATCTACTCGCTGCGCTTATTTCTTTTTAGGGAAAGTGATTTACAAAAGTAAACCTTCAATACTGACAAAATTGCAATAGGCTGGCTAGTGGCTACTGTTAGTCTGCGAAAAGAAAGCTACAAAAAGACACCTAGCATTCATTTTTACATTTTAGTCATTTAGCAGACGCTCTTATCCAGAGCGACTTACAGGAGCAATTAGGGTTACATCGACAGATTTTTCACCTAGTCGGCTCGGGGATTAGAACCAGCGACCTTTCGGTTACTGGCACAATGCTCTTAACCACTAAGCTACCTGCCGCCCTTCGTCTTGGATAGCCTACTGTAGCCAGATGTCTCTTTTGAAAAGCCCTCGTCTTAATGGCCAACGTCCTATTTTGAGGAAATAATAATCTTCAATTTATATACTTTAGAAACTAAATGTACTATAATACAATGCAATTTTAAAGAATCGAATGTCTTGCATTGCTACATTATATTACACATCTTTTAATATCTACCATCATAACCAAATGTAGCCTATTACTAGCTGAATAGAGTGAAAGCATGTCAGCCTATGCATTTATAAACTACCCCATATCCGGGCTAGTAGAAAATCTGTTTGGGCCAGTAGATTTTGGCCAGCTGGGAGGGGGGGGGGGAGTTGTTGGACCCTGGTTGGTGTGACTTAGTACACTTATATGGTTTGCGCTGAAGATGGACTGAATTTTGGCAAAATGATCAGAGTTTGTACGGTCATGAAAATCCTGGAAATGTCATGGAATTTTAAAATGGTGTTTTCCAGGCCTGGAAAAGTTCTGGGAAATGATTCAATCCAAAAAGTTTCGGAAAAGTTTGAATTTGATTTCTGTTAATGTAATTTGTTTAGGAACAGTGTGAATATTTTATAAATCAAATAAAAATCAACATATCAGACAGGATCGGAATTACACTTAATTAAGCGTGTCTGTGTAAAAAAAACAAACGTGTTTGCGAGCGTCACCTGCATGTGAGAAGTGTGGGCCATTGCTCAAGGAGAGAGACCGTTGGACATTGCAGCAGCAGGTAGGCCTAGTCTATAAAATATGATAGAGAACAAACTAGGTAGCCAATTCCAAACATATCTTGTACCCTCTAACGGTTTAGCAAATGATGGCAAGTATTAATGTTTTTGTCATGTCCCAAAAACTTTCCACACTTGCTAATAAGGCCATACAAAGTTGAATAACTTTTTAACAATTCATATGATTAATTTAAATTTATTTATTTTTGATGAAACAAATTATTCACTTTGCCATTGTATTATATGGGATTCGATTCAGTTGTGTTGAATCAAATCATGTGAATCAAAATTATTTGTGAATCGTTAACATTAATTTTAGGAAGAAACGGATGTTACATTTTACATTTTAGTCATTTAGCAGACGCTCTTATCCAGAGCGACTTACAGTTAGTGAATACATATTTTTTTTATACTGGCCCCCCGTGGGATGTGACCTCTTGGATTACATGGCTTCAAAACGTGTTTTGTATATACTTCCAGTTGATTTGGGCATCCAATGAATGGGACATTGAAACTCAATAGATGCTAGACAGCCTGCAAAGTAAACACTTCTAAGGTAGTTAAGATACATGGCTGAACTCAAAAAGCTACATTTCCTGAAGAAAATTAGTGGGCTTGATACGGCTGAATAAATAGATTTGTAGCCTACATAGCCATTTGATATATTGAATGAGCAAATATTTTCTAAAAAGTATAAAACTTATTTGGTGGTTGTTGCAGTGTTTTCCATAAAGGGTGGTCAACCATCCTCCAGGAGAGCTAATGGATGTGCAGGCTTTTATTCCAGTCCCCTTTAGTAATGAGCTGCTCAACCGAACCTTGATAAACTGGCTCTGTGTTTTTGCAGGGCTTGATCAAAAGCCTGCACACCCAGTGGCTCTCCAGACTGACGGTTGACCACATGTTTTATACAGTTGCCTAACAGATATTCTACTTGGGGGGGGGGGGGGGGGGGGGGGGTTTAAATGCCTTGCTCAACAACAGGAAATGGTACATGTAATCAGAAAGCAGCCTTCCATGGTGTCGATACCACATTACGCTCACTTTTATACGTACGTAGATGCCGCCAATTGTTGGTCATGGAAATTTGGTGGAAAGTCGTGAAATTCCATCTGTCAATATATGTGAACCCTGTATGACTTCATAACGTCTGTTGCATCTAGCTTTACTAAGAGAATGCCTCTAAAAGTAAAGATTGAATGTGATTCGGATTGTCACGGTCAGGAATAGTTTTACCGCTATGATGCATTTCTTGTGTTATGATAGGCTTCATCCACATGCATTGCTAACATTGCTTGAGTGGAAACGCATTGGTGGATGTTTAGGATCATAATGGCCTCCATACAATATAAATGGAGGTTACATCATTATTGTGTGAAAGTAGTCCTGGTTCAGGAGTGGAGAGCAATACAGTACCTTAAAAATTCTGTTCCCTTAGTTTTCAGTTGTCTTGATAAGGTAATGATGGGCTGCAATTAGCTTAGAGCAGGTGTTTGAAGGATGAGGTTAGGAAATGCCTGCCTAAGTGTTGGATGGCATCAATTGAGCCGACGGTTGTTGCTTTAGAAGGGGCACAACTGGTTTTGTCTTAACTGTTTTCCTGGCATTTCATGGTCTTAGTCTATAAATGTTAATGTACTTTAGTTTTTCAGAATTTCCCGACTGCCTGTCATGAATTGATTTCATTCTGCCTGTTGTGAATGTTTATAAACTCATGTCTTACACACCTTGTCTGTCTCCTCAGATACATTGTGCTGACCACCTCAGCTGGCATCATGGACCACGAAGAAGCCAGACGAAAACACACAGGGGGGAAAATTCTTGGATTCTTTTTCTAAAATGTAAAGAACTGCAAAATAAAACACCAAATCCAGTGGACTGGACTTTGTATTGTCTTATTTGATTGCTACAGTCAAAAGCTTTTTTTGTATTGGTACAATGAGAATGACGAGTCACATTTTTACTGAACAAAAATATAAATGTGAATATTTGAAAGGTTTTACTGAGTTGTAGTTCATATAAGGAAATCAGTCAATTGAAATAAATGCCCTAATCTATAGATTTCACATGACTGGGAATACAGATCCATCTCTTGGTCAAATCCTTGCGACATGGGGCTGTGCATTATTTCTGAAACATGAGGTGATGGCGGTGGATGAATGGCACAACAATGGGCCTCAGGATCTCATCACGGTATCTGCATTCAACTTGCCATCGATATAAAATGCAATTGTGTTCGTTGTCCGGAGTTTATGCCTGCCCATACCATAACCCCACTGCCACCATGGGGCACTGTTCACAACGTTGACATCAGCGAGCCATTCGCTCATACAACACTTATGTCTGTGGTTGTGAGGCCAGTTGGACGTACTTCTAAAATGGAGGCAGCTTATGGTAGAGAAATGAACATTACATTCTCTGGCAACCGCTCTGGTGGACATTCCTGCAGTCATTGTGCCAATTGCAAGCTCCCTCAACTTGATACATCTGTGGCATTGTGTTGTGTGACAAAACTGCACATATTATAGTGGCCTTTTATTGTCCCCAGCACAAGGTGCACCTGTGTAATGATAATGCTGTTTAATCAGCTTCTTGATATGCCACACCTGTCAAGTGGATGGATTATCTTGGCGAAGGAGAAATGCTCACTAACAGGGATGTAAACAAATTTGTGAACAACATTTGAGAGAAATAAGCTTTTTGTGCATATGGAACATTTCTGGAATCTTTTATTTCACCTCATGAAACATGGGACCAACACTTTACATGTTGCGTTTATATTTTTGTTCAGTGTAGTATTCAGAGAACAGTATTCAGATGTCTGTTATCAATCTTGCAGTTAGGCTGTGTAGATGCAATTTGAGCCAGTGTTGCTAGGATTCAGTTATGGTCTCCACAATTATTTGGATGAATTATGAAAATGCGTCTGGAGGGTTGACCTCCCCATTAGCTGCCCCAGATGTGGGTAATGAATTACTGGATTCACACTAAATTAAGTCTAAAACCTTCCCTCTCTCTTGCCCTCGGGCACTGTAGTAATTACTTAGTGTGAGCAGGCAGTTAGCAGCTTTCTACCTCTTCTAAAGCATTTTAAGCTACAGTTTCAAGAAACAGGCTTATTTTGTAATACAAAGTAGACTTTCGGTCCAGCATTTATCCACTAGCATCAAGTAAGGCTGAATCACTTGTATATGGGGCCTTGGTTATATATGCTGTAACTCAGCTGAGGATTTCCTGGTCTGGTCATATCAGGAAGAATTCATGGCATGACAAAGAGTCAAGGAAATAAAATTGAGATTTCTTTGTGGGCCTGCTCATATTTACAGTCAGCTCCAACGGAAGTCCCTCATGTCCTCTGCAGATGGTGTGTTGCCCCATGATGCTGCCATTCCATGAAATATTGAGTGATCCTATTCATGGATGGTTTGGTAGGCTGTTCCCCAGTGGGAATGGATGATGTTGCTGTACTGTAATCAGGTTGCTGTAACTTATGTTGGATTCATTGAAAGTGGAACTCAACAAAAAGTCCTAGACAATGGAAGTCCCTCATACCCTCTGCAGATGGTGTGTTGCCCCATGATGCTGCCATTCCATGAAATATTGAGTGATCCTATTCATGGATGGTTTGGTAGGCTGTTCCCCAGTGGGAATGGATGATGTTGCTGTACTGTAATCAGGTTGCTGTAACTTATGTTGGATTCATTGAAAGTGGAACTCAACAAAAAGTCCTAGATCCAGTCTCCTGCAAAGGCACCCATAAAATGAGTTCTTTATTTGCTTAACGGACAAATCTTTGACAACTTATTTGTCTGCATCATCTGGTGGCTTGGTCCTAGGTGGCTATTTTTACAACTACAAGCAGCACTTTCCCACTACATGATGTGGGATATCTGTCGCTGTCCACTGCACCTCACCGATGGGACACAGACATCCCATCCTCTCCTACCCCAGAGCCTGCTTGTTGTGAACCTAGCAGCCTACACCAGACTTGGTGTAGAAAGGTACAGCTAATGCATCTGCGCCCCAGTGCTAGGTAGCAGCACACAGTGCACTATGCTATGACAATGTTATATGGACTAAGTGCACGGAGACCGTCTTGCTCCCTCATGGGTTCACAGCACTATGCGCTGGCCGTGTAAAGAGGACAACCAAAGTCTTTGTTGCTGTTTTGCTTTGAAGCCCAGGGAGGACTGGGACATGGGTGTCCAAGCTCAGAGTGAGAGATAAAAAGAGAGAAGAGATGGGGTATTTTACACCACTTAGCAGGGTGCATGTTCATGATAAGGCCACAATGAGAAGTTCAGGGTCATCCTGGAGGAGGAATGCAGGTTCCATTCTCCTATTGCTCACACTAAATATCAACCAACTAAAGACAGTCATTATCTTACTGGCTTTATCAAAGTATCGAGTGTATTAAGAATATCATGGAATATAACAGTATAAAATACACATTTTTCCCACGTGACTTGTGTGACGGGATGATGTGGAACCGCTGTCATATAAATTATCTTTTGAAACAGAGCCCAAGCTTTTTTGATCCACATTTTATCTATTTTCTCCCTTCACTCCACTTTGTTAGGGATGAAATCACATTTTATTTTTCACATGCGCCGAATACAACAGTTGTAGACATTACCATGAATTGCTTACTTACAAGCCCTTAACCAACAATGCAGTCTATGACTTGGGTGACCGGAGTCTTTTACAATTTTTTGGGCCTTCCTCTGACACCGCTTAGTATATAGGTCCTGGATGACAGGAAGCTTGGCCCCAGTGATGTACTGGGCCGTACGCACTACCCTCTGTAGTGCCTTTCAGTCGGATGCCGAGCAGTTGCCATACCAGGCGGTGATGCAACCGGTCAGGATGCTCTCGATGGTGCAGCTGTATAACCTTTTGAGGATCTGGGGACCCATGCCAAATATTTTCAGTCTCCTGAGGGGGAAAAGGTGTTGTCGTGCCCTCTTCACGACTGTCTTGGTGTGTTTGGACCATGATAGTGTGTTGGTGATGTGGACACCAAGGAACTAAACTCTCAACCCGCTCCACTACAGCCCCGTCGATGTGAATGGGAGTGTGTTCGGCCCTCCTTTTCCTGTCGTCCACGATAATCTCCTTTGTCTTGTTCACGTTGAGGGAGAGGTTGTTGTCCTTGCACCACACTTCCAGGTCTCTGACCTCCTCCCTATAGGCTGTCTCATCGTTGTCGGTAATCAGGCCTACCACCGTTGTGTCGTCAGCAAACTTAATGATGGTGTTGGAGTCATGCTTGGCCACGCAGTCGTGGGTGAACAGGGAGTACAGGAGGGGACTAAGCACACACCCCTGAGGGGCCCCCGTGTTGAGGACCAGCGTGGCAGATGTGTTGTTGCCTACCATTACCACCTGGGGGCGGCCTGTCAGGAAGTCCAGGATCCAGTTGCAGAGGGAGGTGTTTAGTCCCTCTGCGTATGGTCATATATTTGTCATGATACCAATAGAAAATAATAGCAATCCTATTTTCAAGAGCATGTGAGTCTCGTGTTCATATTTCCCAACCTCTGCGGGCTTTTGGAGTTGCCTATCGAGCAAAATAATAGGCCTACTCTTGATTTACATTAGTTTACATTTTAGTCATTTAGCAGACGCTCTTATCCAGAGCGACTTACAGTTAGTGAGTGCATACATTTTCATACTGGCCCCCTGTGGGAATCGAACCCACAACCCTGGCGTTGTAAATGCCATGCTCTACCAACTGAGCTACAGAGGGCCATTATTTAGGCTCCATTATTGCTAATTATTGCTAATGTATGTATGTAACATGCTAAATGTTTCTGATCAGTGATAGATGAGCAAACAAATAGATGAGCTCTATACCACCTCCACGTATTTACCCAGCCAGAAACCAGTTAACCAAATAGCCTATACAGATGGAGATTCTGTGAAACAAAATGACATTGATTGATTATCAGACTAGTCAGTGAAGTCACAGGCTTTTGGTCGGGAGTATGCCTAGGCTACTAAGCGACTGCGAGTAAAGAGCAAAATTTTCCACTTGTTAAAATACATAAAATGACTAAATGTTCTAATAAATGTGCCAAATACAAGATGATTATGAGCAGCTCACCTTAACATAGCTAACATTTCCCCAGCCTAATTGTAGCCTAACCAATATCCAAACGGAGATTCAGTGAAAACAAAAATCTCTTGATTTATCAAGAGGAGTCCCCAAGCTTGTCTAAAAGCAGCGCAATGGCGCTGTCCCAATCAAAACGGTGCTGATATTATCATCTAGTTGACCACACTACGCGTGGATTGGATGACTGGGAGTTTCACTAAGCAAAGTATTACAATCTGGGGACGGGTACCAAAACATTTCTGCAGCATTGAAGGTCCCCAAGAACACAGTGGCCTCCATCATTCTTAAATGGAAGAAGTTTGGAACCACCAAGACACTTCCTAGAGCTGGCCGCCCAGCCAAATTGAGCAATCGGGGGAGTTTGTCAAAAAGCACCTAAAGCACTCTCAGACCATGAGAAACAAGATTCTTTGGTCTGATGAAACCAACATTGAACTCTTTGGCCTGAATGCCAAGCGTCACGTCTGGAGGATACCAGGCACCGCTCATCACCTGGCCAATACCATCCCTACGGTGAAGCATGGTGGTGGCAGCATCATGCTGTGGGGATGTTTTTCAGCGGCAGTGACTGGGAGACTAGTCAGGATCAAGGGAAAGATTAATGGAGCAAAGTACAGAGAGATCCTTGATGAAAACCTGCTCCAGAGCGCTCAGGACCTCAGACTTCCAACAGGACAACGACCATAAGAACACAGCCAAGACAACGCAGGAGTGGCTTCGGGACAAGTCTCTGAATATCCAGAGCCCGGACTTCAACCCG